TGTGTGTGTGTGTGTGTCTGTGTGTGTGTTTAAGAGTGTGAATGTGTTTCTCTGTGTCTGTGTACTATGTGTGTGTGTGTATTCTGTATGTGTGTGTGTGTGCGTGTGTATGTATGCGTGTGTGTGTTTGTGTGTGTGTATGTGTGTGTGAGTGTGTGTTTGTGTGTGTGTATGTGTGTGTGTGAGTGTGTGTGTGTGTGTGTGTGTGTATGTGTGTGTGTGTGTGTGTGTGTGTGTTTGCGAATGCAGCACAACGTCCTAAATTTTAAAGATCAAACAGAAAGTCCTCGGCATTGGTGACAAAAAGGTTTTCCATTTTCTTTGGCAGTTCCAGAAGTTCCAGAAGACTATCAACTAAATGTACAGTTAGCTGTAGTTATGGATGACAGCGAAATGAACGAAGTGTCTCTGAAAATAGCAGTGAAGCAAAAAGTAAGTATGAATGATTATATTACATAATACAATTGGATTGAAAGGTAAGTGCGAGTATTTACGGTAAGCCCAAAGGTAAAGTGAACACTGACATAAGGATGTGTTTATAATATGCTATTAATAAGCTTTATAATGATATCTGTCACGACGCGGGGGAATCAGGCGCTCGTCAGTGTTTGTGAATGTGGAGATATGGGTATCATCTTAAAACTTGTTCATTTATCTCGCATATGAAGAAACAAAACACCAATCTCTCTTGAGAAGAAGTTAAGGTATTTGTCACTGAAAGATGTACGTTTACTTGGTTTCAGTCGAAAAAATAGCGAGAAAATGGCTGCCAAAGCTTGGTAACTTCAATAGCTAAAGAGTCATTGAAAACTTCACAATTGCATATTTTGAGCTTTTAGTCATTTTTTTCTCAATTTAATTCACATGGAAATCTGTTCTTATTTGGACATAAAAGAGATGAACCCCCCCCCCCCCAAAAAAAATGTGATTAAATTTGCGAAACTTGTGACAAAATGCCTGTTTCTCCAATTTTGTTATTTTGACAAAGCGCGTGATTTCACCACGATGCCTCACATATGTATTCTTACGGGTAAAGCCATATGCAATTACGCCTTTGCTATATAATAAAGGTATACACATTTATTTATGTAAGTACCAACACTCTACATCATTGAACGTTCTATTTTTCATTTTCCATTTGTTCTAATATGTTTTGAGTCAGACAATGGAATACGCATGTTTTACCCGCTTGTATCGTGATTGAAACCAATTAAAGTTCTATCTGCTTAATCAAAATGGAAAGATTATTCAGAGTCGATATCAAGATATTCAAAGAATTGCATTCGAAAAAAAAACGAGTTATGTTTTGAAAATCAATTTGATTTTTTACGTACAATTTTTCAAAACTAGCTACTGGGTAGATGGAAATTTGCAATTCTGGGGTACAGATATGCGTGATTTCAACAATATCTAACACAGTCACAATTCCGCGAGACGTTTTCTTTGACCGTGTGATATCAAGAAGAACAGGGAACTGCCGCACGCCCCACTTCTCGGGTTTATATCCACATGATTTTTTAAATTTATTTAGTTGGGTTTGTTTGTTTTTTGCTTGTTGGTTTTTTTAAAAGATAATAATTATATATCATATTCGCGCAGAAGTTCGTGTAGGACTAAAGAATGAAATAAGACCAAAACTCTCACATAAGTCATTGAATAAAAGGTTAAAGTATAATTTTTTAAAAATGTAAAGCAGTGCGTAAAGGGGAAAGGGAGTATAATTATTTCATGCATATTATATTATGGTACGAATTACATTAAGGAAATTAAAATTTCTTTTCTTTATCTATACTTTGTTGTTGAATTTCTGTCTTATCCTTCTTCAAAGACCAATAACTCTTTTGCTATTTAACCTAGCCAAACGACATTCGGCACTCATGATCATTCTTTTTCTGCCTACATGGCAGAATAAGAATTGGTCAATGTCTCCCCCTTATCTAACGGGGATAATTTTATTCACACTGAACTTTGCAAATTCCATACCAGTGGCTGCTCGGTATTGCATGTGACCTCTTCTAGCTTGATTCACTGCTACAAAACGTCTACTCATTGACTAAATTAATGACCTAACGGATGCCTGAGAAATTCCTTGCATATCCTTCTGAAGTGCAGCCTTCAGTTCCAGACAAGCTTGCATGGGATATGGCCAAATTTCGAAGTCTCAAAGTCATCTTACAGATTGTTGGTTTAAGGCCTGTTCATCCTGCAGACCAGTCCAGACGTTTATTTTATGAGCTTTGAAGGAGTTTTGACTGGTAATGGCCGGCTGGGGGTTGGGAGTTGTCTTGTGGGCGCATTCAATCATTCTTGCCATGTGGAGAAGGACGCGGCGATTAAGAACTTCACCACAATACCGTCGTCCTTTGAGATTGCTTTGGATAGTGACCAAATGTGTATGATGAAGAACTGAGATTCCTCCCTACACCATCACACTTCCACCATCGAATCGGTACACGTGGCGAATGTTGGCTTTATAATTTCTCTTGCCTCTTCTTTTAAACATGTTTTCCCTTTCATCAATTTTTCCATCAAAACCTTGACCATTGCCGTAGAGAACACTATACTAACGTTTTTGGTTCCATCGCCAATGTTGTCGCTCCCAAAGTAGGCAGTTTTTTTTTCCGATAATGCGTAGTTAAATGGCTCCATACAAAGGGAGATAATAACGTAGTCCATGATTGTGTAAACGTCTACTAATGGTGTTTTAAGACAACCCCAAGTACATGGCTGTCTCTGCACGTAGTTACTGACAGGTGTGTTGACATTAACCCAATTCAGATGTCGAGTTGTTTCCCTTGATAGACGACGTCTAAGTCTGCCTTTGACAATTGCAATGAATTTTAAACGCTTGTTCAAGTGATCGGTGGTTCTCCTGCACATATGATTTACGGGTCTTGTAATGGCAGAGAGCGCCATTCATGAATGTATCATACTCACAGGGCGTTCACGTTGTTACATTAAAAAAATTTCAGTTTGTAATGTTGAAAACACCTGAACATATTATGCATGACACCCTCCCTGTCCCCCCCTCCCCCCTCCCCCGTAAAAAAATACTGGTTTGTAGAGTGTGTAAGATGTGTTTACACATTGTCTGTGATTCAAAGCAAATTTTACGTGTAGGATACCTTGGTATTAACGTACCATGGTCGTTCAAAAAGTTTTGCATCCTCTCCCATAATTCTAAACTATCCCATAGATCTTCATGAAATTTGTACACAATTGGCTTTCAATATGTATACTTTAAACCCCCTCAAAAACAGAATTATACTATGATGTCACACCTTTATGCTATTGCTGTTTACATGGCGTCCGGCAAACCTATGAATGTGCGCTTAAATCAAAGAGCTGTTATTGAGTTCCTTACTGCAGATGGAGCTGCACCCTTTGATATTCATAAGCGAATGAAACTTGTCTATATTGATTCATGTGAAGCATGGGTAGATGTAAGTACTGGTCTAAGATGGACAGAGGAGCTCGTGTAACCAGTCCAGCAGAGCAAGATTTGCATGACCAAGCTCGTTGTGGTCGTCCCAACTCTGCCAGTGATGTTCAACACCAGGAGAGAGTGGATGAGATCATCCAAGCAAACCGGCGGATCAAAGTAAGAGATGTCAGTGAAATGCTATGGATTTATGTTGGGAGTGCTCAGTATATTATTCATGATGTGCTGGGTTACAGAAAAGTGTGCGCACGGTGCTGAAATTGAAACGAAGTCAAGTTAGTGATGAACTCCTGGCTCGTTATACTGATGAAGGTGAGGTTTTCTTACGCCGTATAGTTACTGGAGACGAGACTTGGGTACACCATAATGACCTGATTCTGAAGAAAATGAAGATAATTCTTAACGAAAGGAGCAACCCTCAGTTTGGCCAAGTTTTGACCAAGCTACGCAGATCGAGGTGTTTGCTGATTTTTGAAGATCAACCAGTTCTTTGTCTAAAACTAGCAATGAGAAACTTGAGAAAGTCTTTATTCTCGACGTAAATTACCTTTAAAAACTTGAGGTTGGGTTCAAATAGAGTGAATTTCCACAATAATTGTATTTTTTTTCTCCAAAATATCATTTTTTTTCTTGCAGTTTTTCCCCAACTCCTTCCTTATTTTTTTTATACTTTTGGTATGAAACTGTGAAGAAACATAGACGGAAAGGCTGCCATCAATGGAACAGGGTCATATTTGCGAGAAAAAAACAACACTTTCCACCTTCAACCAACATTTAAGAAAAGGTTGATAAAATATACATTTGGAAATTTTTTATCTTGTTTTCGTTTTACTACTGTAGAAAATAAACTCGCTGTTACGTTGACAGGTACTGGAACAGATATACTCTCAGCAAATTGGGTCGAAACTTGTCAAATTTTGTCAGCAAATAAAAAAGCCTCTGGAATTTGAAACGCATTATTTATTTTGAAAATGACAGCCGTTTCCATAGCGACCGCTGTAATTGTGCAAACATTAAAAGTACTCTTCAATATAATATTTGTTATGTTTAACTTATTACTTAGATTTGATCTCGGTCATCTAACATAGAAAATAAAACTTGAGGGTCGCTCCTCTCGTTAATTATGATGAACGTATGAACATTTCAGATGCTGGGTGCACTCCAAGACGTGGAGACATTAGTTACAGTAAACGTCACAGACATCAGGTGGGTCCAAATTATGTTTACCTTACTTAATAAGAGCTTTTACGCCTCCATCGACACTCTTTTGATAATTTAGGAAACAGGATTTCAATCTGGATACGCGGAATACTACGTTTCAACAGAAGTACAGAGATATTCGATTAAACATAAAATCGTCCTCATACAGGAATCGAACTCAGATCTTATGCATGTGACTGCAAGGCGTCTGACCGAAAATACATCAAGAGGGTCAAAAGAAATCCTATAAAACATTCGTTTTGATGAACAGATTTTCGATTCCAACCAAAGTACATATTGTTTTATGTATTCACCTTTCAATTCTTTATTTGTCTCGTGAAGAAATACTGTAACGTAAATGTTGCCCACATTCTATTCCTCTATTGTTTTGTAGATAGATAAATAGATGGATAGATAGATAGATAGATAGATAGATAGATAGATAGATAGATAGATAGATAGATAA